AAGAGTGTACCCCTGCCTGCAGAGTGTGGGTGCAGAACATGCTGTGCTGGAAGGCAAACGCCAGGGAGGTGGTAACAGCCAGGAAGGAGCCTTTAGAGTGGGAATCAGAGCTGAGGGAGGAATGTGGGTCTGTGTCCCGGGGGTGTTTCCACATCTGGAATAAAAGCAGAGTTTTTCAAAAGCTCAGGGAGAGAAGCACTCCCAGCCCCGGGGCAGCCCCGAGCCAGCTCAGACACCCCGGGCACCCCTGGGATGGGGAGCATGTCAAGGGTCCACCCAGCCACCAGTAACCGGGGCAGGGTTGTCCCCATCATCTCCAGTACATCGGGAAATGGTTGCTGGCCACCCAGTTTGCGGCTGGGAGGGAGGTGGAATCTCATGGGCAGCCTGGCTGTGGGCGGAGCTGCTGGCCCCTGTGGTGGGGCTTGGCGAGCCCGGAGGCAGCCGGACCACCTAAACCTGAATGTCTTTTCTCTCTCTGTCTCCTGCTGCTTTCGCACCTTTCAGGCTGTTTGTCCGTCACGGCAAGTACGTTTGGTTTGAGGTCCTGGGCGCGGTGGGCGTGAAGGGCTGGCAGGAGGGACAGCCAGCCCCCTGACTGGGCCACGTCCCCAGTTCCTGTGTGGGGTCACTGGCTATGGCTGTGTGCTTGTTTTGCAGCCCCTGCCACGGGAGGGTGATGCTGCTGTGCTGGGTGGTGGGGCTGGGGGCGGCAGGAGCCACGCCGGGGGTGGGCGGACATGGCTGCTGCATCCCCTTTGCAGGGTACTGGTGCACAGATCTGCCGGAGCTGCCTTTTGGCTGGGACCCCACTCAGCTGGGGAGATGCCTGCCGTTCGCTGGCTTTGCATGAATTTTCAGCTGAATGCCAGAAGGGCTTGTTTTAAGTTAAAAAAATACTGTTTGAATTCAGTTTTACATGGAATTGAGGATCTGCACAAGAGTTTTTGGACAGTTTTAGTGATATGTGAGTGAGGGCAGAGGAAGGGGCGCTGCCATCCTGCCTGGGCTGGCTGTGCCTCTGCGCAGAGCGGCACGGGTGCTGGGATGGGGACTGATGACCGGACTAGCGCCGAGGGCAGCGCCCAGGCACACCGAGCGCATTTGCTTGCGCATGCTGGGAAACATCTCACAGCATTGCTGTTTTTTTCTCTTTTTTAGAACTGGAGATATGTCCTGGCTAACTGGGAAAGGGTCCTAATGCTGCTGGTGGCTGCGCCCTCCTGACGCTGCAGTCGCCACGGGGAGACGGGATGGCGGCTCCATGGACAAGCGGGAACACCGTGGCTGAGCCATTTCCCTTTGAGACTTGGATGAACCCGGCACCTGTCACTGCACACTTACCTTCCCAGCAGACTGCCAACAGCTCCTCTGCCCCGGTGCCTACCGGGCTGAGGCTCTGCTGTTGCAATTCCCGTGGGACGCTGGAAAAGCAGCCCCCAGAGAGAGCGGGGTTTGGCAGTGGCAGCGGGCACGGGCACTGTGTGGCTGCAGATGCTGCTGATGGGTTGGAGGGTCCCCAGGTGGGTCTGCCCCACGCACGTCCCTCGCCCCCGTGAACAGCGCGAGTGCCTTTTGTTGCTCCCTGTGCTTTCAAGCACGTTGCCCCTTCCCAAATCCTCTTCACTCCCAGCAGAGCTCTGATGTGCATCCCCGCGGAGCCTGACATCCGCTCCCTCTCCGCATGGCTGCAGTGCTTGCCACAGTTCTCCCCATGCTCACCCACCCTGGGGAGCACCTGGGCGGGCCAGGGAGATGGGGTCACGCTGGGTGGTCTCTGTACAGCCTGTGTTTGTGTTTTGCATTCTCCTTTCTCCAGGCTGGCTGCCCTGTCCAGCCCCCCCCAGCAGAGGTGGGTCCCTGGCCAAGCCGAGGGCTCTGGAGCTCATCGGTCCCCGTCCCAGCACCCACAGCATCTCCCCATCCTGGAGCAGAGAAAGGGCTGGAGTGCTGCTCCCCATCTCCTGGGGCTCCGTTTGAGCTTGGGCACTGGCAGCTCTGGGTCAGTCCCCGGGGTGCGGAGCCGGGGCTCCCTGGAGAGGCATGGCAGCCAGACTGCAGCACCTGGGCTTGGTAGCCGTCCTTCCAGCCAGCCTTGTGATGTCTCTCTCCTTAACGATTATCGCAGGATTAGTGCTGCTGCTGAGATGTTACTCAAGGAAAAGTAGCTAGAGGAGTATTTCTGGCTGTCCTCCGTCCTTTGTCACTCCTTCCTCCTGTCGCCTAGTGACAAAGCTGCATTTCTCATCTTAGCTTTCCATGTCAGTGCTCTGCTGTCGTGTTTTCTGCCCCTTGCTGGAAGAAGAGCCTTATCTCCAGTTCAGGAGTGGACCTGGCCAGCCCACAGCCCCGCGTCCATCAGCCCAGCAGAGCCGGCGGGTGAGAACCCCCCTTAGAGAGCCTCCGGTGCTCTGTCCTGGGGGAGGTTTCTTCCCCAGCCATCAGTGTTTTACCCTGAGCCCAAAGCAAGAGGATTTACATTTTTAATTTGATTCACCCCCTATGAATTAAAGCAGTACTATTCTTGGGATCTGGATCACCTCTGATTCCTTCCAAGGCCTTGGGTCACCTCTGCAGGTTGGCCGGGTGGTGCAAGCACCTCTTCTGTGGAGGCTTCCCACTTGTGTCCAGTTCACCTGTATTTATTTCCAGAATTTCTGATCTTTGCTGGGTAGAAACATCACCAGTCACCTGTTAGGTCTCCAGTTGGTCTCTTCTGGTTTCACTGCAAGGTTTTTCCCAGGCGGCATGACCAGAGGGGATGGTAGGCAGGGACATGCATGCTCCAGCACATGGCAATGAACAGAGTCCTCTTCTTGAACTGTTATGTATCATCTGCTGGATCCACAAAGGGATGTGAACTTGCAAGTCTCATCTTAGGTCCCAAAAGGCAAATGTCGATGTCCCCATCCCCAGTGCAGCACGGGTGAGGGCTTTCTCTGAGGGCAGAGGTGGCCAGGGCTGCTCAGCTCCTGGTGCCCCAGGCAGGGCTCTGGCAGAGGGGCTGGGGCCGTGCACGCTGCCCAGGCTCTGGGCGATGTGGCTTTGCATCCCGTATCTTGCTGGTGGGATGGTTGGACTCTGCTTCAGCAGCTCCCCAGGGGACTGAGCTGGGGGTGCCTGGGGACACCGGCCACCACATGGTGGCACTCTCCAGAGCTCTGTGTTTTTCCCCCTGGGCTCTCTGGCACATCGTCCACACTGGGTGAGGCTGGTGGCTCCCGTGCCCCATGTGCTCCCCCAGCACAGCTTGGCTGAGCATTTCCAAGGCCTCCGTCTTCCTGCTCACCCAAAGGCTTGGCATCCTCTGGAGTCCTCCTGGGCAGATCGGCAGGGTGCTTCGTTTTTCAGGAAGATGCCCTTTGACTCCTTCACCTCTGCTGGGGCCTCATCCAGTGTTGGGCGTGAGCTGCTCACAGCGGGCATCACCCCCATGTTCACAGGGCTGAAGACCATCCAAGGCCTGAGGAAGGACCTTCTGCTCCAGCTTACAGCTGCAATGTGGGGAACAAGTCCCATTCCCCCTTTTTACAGAGGAGCTGTTTCAGCCGGAGTTGGGAACATCACCCCATGACACAAGAAACCCCAGTCACCACCAGGGCTTTCCTTAGGACGTGTGCTGGGTCATGGGCAGGGCTGCCAGCATAGCTAGGCATCCTGACACCGACTTGTGGGCATTGCTCTTCCGCACCGGTGTGGGATGGTGTTGGACCCGGGACCCCTCATCCAGCGCCTTAGCAAATGCGCTGGTGGTGGTGACCATGTCCTGGAGCTGGGCAAGGCTGGGTTGTCTCCTCTGCCACCTCTCCAGGCATATCTTGCAACTTCCCATGCCAGGACAGAAAGTTTCCAGATCTTCTTAAGAAACTGCCTGTTCCCATCAGGAATGAACACCATTAGCTAAACCCAGCTGGGGCACATGGAGCTTGTTAGTGTTCCCCAGCTGCATTGCCCCATCACATTTAGCTTCACCAGATTGCCCAAGTATCTTCTAGGTTGCTTACCTGGGTTGCCAACACAGACGTGATGCCCCCAGACCCCAAGCTCTCCACCAGCTCCTGCTCCTCAGGTGCTGGGCTTTGCCTGTCACCCTGCCTGCATCTCTCCCCATGTGCTGGCAGGACCCAGGGAGCCACGTGTTGGGCACAGCCCACCTTCCCTTCCTGCGCACCCGAGAACCCCTCTAGGCATCTCGTGGCATTGCACCAGATGACAGATTTACTTTTAGTTCCCTTGTGCCCTAAGCCTTCGTTTAAAAAATCACTGCTCCTCACGAGGTGGTTTCCCAGACATTAAGTATGGCCTCACCCTTTGTTCGTCCATCACTGCCCTTGCTTTTTCACCTTGCACGTTGCTTGGGTGAACTGGCGTTTACTCATGCACTGGCATTTACTCCTCACTTTGCTCCTTCTTACAGCCCCCAAGGAGGTTGTGGCAACACATATAGCTTCGCCGCCTTCCTTTCCCGCAGTGTTCCCCCTGTCCCATGGGCTGGCTGCCCTTGTCTCAGCTAGAGTTGGTCTGAGCTGAATGGTGGTGGCCAGCCATCTCCAGGCAAGTCTTCCCAGCGTCACTTCTGAGGCTGGGAGGTGTTCAGTGTTACAGGCTGTGGTTAAACACCCTCCCCGATGCAGTGGAGACTGTCTTCTCACCAGTGGCATCTTCAGATGTCTTGTCTGGGCATGGCCAAATAGACCAGAAGGACCTCATGGGCCTTTCTGCTCATTCATTGTCCTCCCTTAGCTCAGTGTCCTTATCTAATAACAGGCCAATACTTACAGCAGGGTGTATTTTTTCCACACTTGGTTAGATTTTCTGTGAAATCCACTTTGCATAAGTTTGGGGGTTTTTTACCAGTAATGTAAGGACAGGGGAGTGGCTGCCCTCAGCTGGGCCGTGGGGCCATGCTGTGGTGTCACAGCTGCTCAGGAGAGCTGGAGAAAGGGCGTGCACCCTGGGCTGTGCTCACAGCATGGACCTGCCTTGAGAGACTGGGTCCTTGTGCATGGAAGCCCTTGATGGGCTTCAGCCAGTCACGCATTGGTCTAACCACACTTTCAGCCCCAGGTGGTTTTTTTGGCAGCATATGGCAATGAGCTCTGCAGCTTCATTTTGGCTTTATCAAGCAGAAGAATCCTCTTTTTATTTGGTTTCTCATGTCCCTTGCCAGTGCTCATCCCTTAAGGACCACATTTACAATACTCTCTCCCAATATTTGCAGCAGGTGCTCTGATGCACCTTCTGGGATGGGTTGGAGGCTGAAGATCATGAGATGAGACCATGCCTGTTGGGTAGGACTAAGCATGAAGGTCCCAAAGCACCATCCCCTTTCCCTGCCATTCATCTCCAGCTCAACCACCCTCTCACACACACCATCCTCCACTGCCCTCCCCAGGACCCCCGAGCCTGGATGGGGCTTGGGGACGCTGAGCAGCATGGAGACCCACGGGGGTGGCCCGTTAGCAGGGAAGCTCACAGTGATGAGTAAAATGCCCCGTGAGTCTATAGGCTTTGAAGAAGTGTTTCTGGCAAAGAGCACCATCCCCTCCCTGGGCATCCACATCTGTCAGGGAGTCATAATTCAGCCATAATTGCATTGATACAACCCAGCTGGGAGAGGGTGTGGCAGAGCAGAGCCTGTGCCCACGGGGTGCACAAGCTGGGGAAACCACCACATCCCCATCGTGGTGACGGGTACAACCTGCTGCTCACCCCCACAAGTTGCTGCAGGGGGGGAGACGCTCTGTGTATCCTTGTGGCTCCTGCATGGGCTTGGTGTCCCAGGGGGGGAATTTTCCTTCCCCACATCCTCCTCCCAGCTCAGCAGCCCTGTCCCTGGGGAGCCAATGGCTGGGTGGCCGCACGCATTAGCCTGACCTGTCATCCTGCTAATTACCTTCTGGCTAATCCCGGCTGAGCCGAGCTGGGATGAGCGAGTGGGGCTCGGGCGCCAGCCATGGCTGCGCACACCCCTCTGCCCCCCAACCTCCGCTGGGGCTTGGCGGCGTTCAGCGGCTCCCTCTTCCTCAACAACAAGACGCGGGACAGCGGCACTGCCCACACCTACCACCCAGGTACGGGCAGCAGGGCTCGGCAGCAGAGGGGCTGGGGGGGGGGGGGCTTTGCTGTTGCTTCATCCCCATGAGCCTGCTCAGCAGATCACCAAAGCACCTGGGTGCCTCTGAGCCGGGAGCACCCAAAGGGTCCCTGCACCCATTCACCCACTGATGAGGGGGAGCAAAAATAAGTGCATTTGCTGCAAATAGCCATTCTTGCTACCCAGCCATCCCCCCAGGCATCGCAGGGGCCATCGCTCTCCATGAGCTGCGAGGCCGGGGCCCCCTCTGGGCAGCGCGACCCTGAGGGGGCTGGGCAGCCCTGCCCACCCCTGCCTGCCCTGCCTAGCCCACGAGGTGCTGGCCAGCCTGCCCCTCCAGATGATGCTGTACTTCAACGTCTACTACTTCCCGGTTTGGTGCCTGGCTGAGGGGATGATGCTGCAGCTGAAGGTACCGTCCCATGGGGCACGTGGCGGGGGGTCAGCCTGCTCCTGCCCAACCTCCCTGAGCATGCGGGGGCCACATTGAGCAGGGGAGAGAGGAGCCTCTTCAAAATTAATGGGTCCCCACACACAGGAGTAAAATACCCTGTCCCCCACAAGACAAGATGGCTCGCCTCCAGCTCCCAGAAATGGAAATCATGAGAACCACTGAACTTTCCAGGCAGGGAAGGTTAAACTGGGAGGGCAGAGTGGGCAGGGCTGGGCACCAGCACGGGTGGGAGCTGCCAGAGCACAGTGAGCAGGGCACACGGAGCCAGGCACGGGGAGGTGGGCATGGAGCACAGGGGATGGGAAACTGGGCATGGAGAGCTGGGCACAGGGCTGGCTGGGACAAGGCTGTGCCCCCGTTACAGTACCACCTGCTGCCTCAGCACTACCAGTTCCTGCTGGTTGCTGCCTTCCTCATCCTCTTGCTGGCTGAGGGCTGCCGCCTCTACCTGGGCTATGTGGGGAACCTGCAGGAGAAGGTAAGCGCCATCTCTCTGCCTGGGCCGCAAGTCCCCTGTGCTCGGTGAGGGATGTCCTTGGTGAGGGACATCCCTGCTGGGGGAGCGGTGGCTATGCTGGGTGCCCAGGACCTGAGTACCCCTTCCTCCTGGAGTCCTGCCTGGAGCTGTCCTGGGAGGGAACTGCAGGCACAGGCAGGACCTGGAGGCAGGGGACAAAGGGAACCCACTCGCTCTCCTGCTGTATCCCTCCCTCTGCTGTGGGTGCAACGCTCCAGCACTGGGCTTGACAGCATTCAACTGTATCCAGGCACAGCTCCGTGTGGCAGGGACGTCCCCGGTAACCAGGCCAGCGGTGGCTGATGCAGGGAGCTCCTGGGGCAGAGAGGGTCCCCCCACACCACCAATGGCCTCTGCGCCCCATCTCAGCAGCCTGTGCTCCCACAGGTGCCCGAGCTGGCCGGGTTCCTCCTCCTCTCCT